CAGTCGGCCGACGGAACGGAGGGCGCGGGGGGCCGCGGGAGCCCCGACATGCGCGTGTAGGGCTCGGGCTAGCAAGCGCGGTTCCGTAAGTGAGAAGGTCGTGAGTGGCCATTCCAAGGACACGGCGCAGGAGGTCCTCGCTCTGCGTCATCGACAGGCTCTTGGGCCTGTGGCGAAACAAAAGAGAATGAAGCCAAGTTCACCGCAGGCTAATCGGCATGAGCAGGAGCTACGTTCCTGCGGCACAGACATCAGTGATAAAGCAAGGCTACTCCAGGCCCTGACCACCACATGACGTTGGTCTTTGGGACCAACCGTTAATTCTTCTGCACTTTAATTTATTTTAGATCAACTTCGCCCATGGATCAAAAATGATTTTTTTTACTCATATAAGTAATTAGGTGTAAATATTGAGTACATTAAAAAAGTCTCTGTAAAATACAAGAAGTGGTACACTCACTTGGTACCACGACTGAGTCTTCTCAGTTGACAATGAAGTTGCCTTTTAAGCTAGAAAAGAACTGCTTAAAGGCTTCTGAGTTTTATTTTCAATCATAAAAATCAGTATTGTCATTTTAGCCCAGTGTGTGAAGGGAAGGGAAGGGCATTCCTTCCCATTCAGGCTTGGGTCATGGGCTTAATATATAGCTTTTTAAAAAAAAAAAGAAAAGAGCCTTTTATTTCAACTACCTTCCTGGGGTAAACTTTTCTAAAAGACAAGCTGGAAAAGAACTCCAAACCATAGAATGGGTATGTAGTCATTATGCTAGAATTTGTATGAATGGTTAAGATAAATGTTGAATTATATACTTTTTTTTAAATCATAGCTAATGTCTGTGGGAATAACTGTTTTACTTAATTTTTATACTATTTCACTCTCATTTGAAATGAGCTGTGATGAAACCACCAAAGATCAATTATGGGTTAAAATTTTTGACTTTAACATAGGAGAATGGGAAGGAGCCTTTTCACTAAGTTCAACTGTTTCTGATAATTAGTTTAGCATAAAGATTTTCTATAGATTCTCTTTTCCATAAGGCTCAACTTTTTTGCAACTGAGTGTAATGTTGCAACTAATCTAGGAAGAGCCACTTACTAAATTTTTTAAAAGGTACTGTAAATTTTAGCAAATATGTTCATTTTAAACAAAATTTCAAGGGAGTTTTGAAATTCAGATAAAAATATTCAGATAAAAAACTAAAGTTTGTGTTTTGTACTGTTTTAAGAATACATAACTCAGATGTTCTTGACCCTGCATTTCAAACCTAGAACTTATACTCTAAATGGAGCTCAATTTTATGAAAAGGAGTTTTGGGTATTGAAAGGTCATCCATTATTAGAAGGTATCAGCCAAAGTTTGAGTTTGCAGCAGTTTTTTTGTTTGCTTGTTTGTCTTTTCATTAGGAGAGTGTCTCACCCAATTTATGGGAAAGAAATCATTTCTCAGTAAAAAGTAAAAATCTTACTTTTCAAAAGTGTTGAGTAAGATGACCTTTTGAGAGCTAATGGGACAAGCAGAAGAGAATACAGTGTTGGTGAATAACTCACTTGGAGAATAGAAGAGAGGCCTGTTTTTAATTCTGTATTTTAATTCCCATGTTGTTCATTTAATCAGTAGAATGTGTCAGTCAAATCTTCAATGAAAACATGAACAAACAGACCTTTCTAAGCTCACTGCTATAGAAGTGATTCACATTGGGTTTCTTTAACAGTTATAGCCCATGGCTTCATCTTCATCTTCATCTTTACTTTATTTCCATATGCTACCCAAAGTCCTTTGTTACTAGGTACTAAAGTTTGCGTTCCAGGGATAGCGAGTGTATGTATTTATGTATGTGAACCATGTTGTTACATGTAAACAAACTTCAATTTGAAGTGCAGCCGTTATGTGGCATCCATGTGTACTGACTACGTGCCATATATCAATTATGGTCACTAGAAAATGTTTTATGATACTTATTGTTATACTGTTTTTCATTTCATCTGTAAAATTTTGCAAAATTCTTTCTTTTGACTCAAATTACAATTCTTATTCTTCTTTAGTCATGGAGAATTCAGTCTCATTCCTCTGCTGTCATCTTCCCCTTATATTAATGTTATTCAGAAGATGTTACTTGTGCAGGTCCCTCTTAGCAGCCGAGACTTTCATTAATGTATAATACTGAGCACTTTATTTCCTAATAAAGACTTGATATAAAAGCAGATCTAAGAGTTGTCTGTTTCCTAAGTAGAAGCAGTGGGTCATTTGCCATGTACGATGAGGCTAATAGTAAAGGCCTAGACTTTGAAAGAGGCATCTTCCCTTTTTCTGTCCAACAACCACATGATTGACACATTACTGCTTTAGCATATGCCTCTAATAGGTTATTCTGACGCTTGTGTAGTATCTCCTAGTAGTATCTCCACATTTTACTTTTGCATTCCTATAGTGAATGGTTGGCTCTACTATCACTGCTATTTCAAAATCTTTGCACATAATTTCCTTATTTACTTTTCATGATTCCTCAGTGGGTATGTTACAGGAGTTGGAGTGCTGAGTCCCAGGTATACAAATATTTAATTCTACCCAGAAGAGGTTGCCCTCCAGAATGACAGCACCAGTCTGTCATTGCACTGCATGCACGAGAGTACCACTTTGATCCACACTCTCACCAGCTCTGGTGCATTCAGCTTCCTAATCTTTGTAAATGGAACGGTTTTAAGTGAGGTCTCATTTTGTTTTCCCTTTATTTGATTCCTAATGAGGTTAAACATCCCCTCATAGTCAGTCAACATTTGGGTTTCTCTTTTTGTAAATTTCCTATTAAACCCTTTAAAACCGTACACTTTGATCTAATGGGAAACAAGTATGTTTTTTGTTCATTGCCTATTTTTCCACTGAGTCAAGGTCTTTTTTGTTGATTTGCAAAATTTACTTGTATGGTTTAAGTATTAATTCTGTATCAGTTCTGGATTTCATTAATATCTCTCATCCAACTGATAACTTTGTCAGTTTTTATATAGTAAATTCAATCAATTTATTCATTTTACTTTATTGTGTTTTGGAGTGTTACAGACTTTTGTAAGATCACAACTTTTATTTATTAAATTTATGGTCTTACCTTTCACATGTACTGTAATACATTTTAGGAGTAATTCTGCATAAGGTCCATCCATATTTTTCTACATATAATGAACCAGTTTTATTAATACTCTCTATAAAATAAGTCTTTCCCTTACTAGTTCCTGGTGTCACTAATATAGTTCAGGTTCATATACATATGTATCTATTTTTAACTCTTTAGTCTGTTACACCAATTTCTGAATGTTGATGCATAACAACTTTTTTTATTATGTCTTTGTATGTCATCATATGTAGTAAGTTCTTCATATGTGCTCTCCTCTTAGGCCCTTTTTTTTTCCCCAAAATTGACTAAGCTATTTTTGTGAACCTTTATTAGTCCAAATAATGTATTAGAATAAATTTAATGGGTTCCTAGGGTGGAGAGGGTAGAGAAAAAAGTCCCACTGAAACTTAATTGGAATTACATTGAGTTTATTGATTAGTTTGGGGAGAACTGCCATTTTACAATATCTGAAACATGACTCTCCATTTATCCAGAACATCCTTAATGTCCTTTAAATGTTCCTTAAAATTTCTTAAAGATCTTATATATTAATATAGTTTTATTGCTGTTATGCACAGAATCCTTTTTCCATTATATTTTCTAGTTGGTTATTGCTGATATAGAAAAAAATTACTAATTTTTTATAAAGTAATTTTACATATCACACTTGTTGAATTCCTTTGCTAGCACTGATAGATTCTGTATTGACTCTGGGTTTTCCATGTAGGAGACCCGCTCATTTGTACTTAAGGACAGTATCATGTCAGAGAGCAGCAGTGATAGTAGACATGCTTGCCTTGTTTCTGGTCTCAACGGAAATGTGCTTTAGTTTGTGTTCCTTTAAAAGAAAAGCCAAGGACTTGAGTTGAGGTCATTTATTTGGGAGGTGATGTTAGGAAGCTGGAGCAGGAAACCGAGGGCCAGGAAAGGAGGAAATGCCCATATGCAGTTGCCCTCTGGCAACAAGAGCTCAAGCCCACCTCTGACAACACTACAAAATGCCTCCCATGATCCCGTCTGAAGAACATAAGCCTGGGGCATTGTCCACTGGCCCCAATCCCTGTTGGTTGAGGGGTGTCCCTGCGGTGTTGACACCTGCTCTTCCAGGCTATGCCGCCCTCAGGCCGAGCAGGTTCTTTCAGCTTTGGAGAAGGCCTCCCAGCAGCAAAGTGAAGGGATTTCTGTTGCTTGAGGAGGGATGCTATCAACACGATCTGGGCTCACATGGAGCTTGACCACAGCTGCCATCGAAGTCAGAGGTGCAGAGGAGATATGACCCAGGGCACCAAAAGCATCTACTTCATCCACCCTTGCCCCACTCAGACCCACTCATGCCCACACTAAGTCCACTCTGGGCTTTTTGAGGTAGGCCAGCTATACTCTCCAGAAAACAGGACACAGGAAGGTTAGTGGAACTAGCTAGTCCCATTGCCACTGCTTGTCACAAGGCCATAATTATGTCACATCTCCCCTCTCCATGACTTTCCAGAGCTCCCTCGCTGTGGCCAATAATTCAGCTGTAGGAAGCTGCTCTCTTGTGATAATTCACACCCCCTTTGCTGAGGGCTCAAAGTCCCTTGTCGTTTTCCAGGCTGCGGTTGTTTGGATTGCCCGTTTACTATAAACTCAGGACATGGAAACCCCAAGTTACCTCTGTAAATTCTGTCCCTTATAAAATAGTAAAGTCTAGCCTCTCCTGACAGCAATGACCAATACGATAACTGATTTCTTTGGCTGCTGTCCCACCAGTGTGCAGATTTCAAAGTGACTCAGTGGCAGACAGTTTCAGGTAGAACCCGACAGAGAAATCTCTAAGTTCTGCTAAGCTTTCAAGGTTTAATCAAAGCTTTTTCTATCATAATGGGTTTTTTATCCTATAAATAACACTGGGTTTTTCCAACATAGTTTAGATTTCGTATTTCCACCTCAGCATCAATACAGTTGTTATTTCTTATTTATTGAATAAGGGCAGATCATAGATTCATTTCATATTGAAGCTGGAAGGCAACTGGCACACTTACTCAGTTTAAAGACGAGGAAACTGCTAACAGATATTAGTGACTTGTAATGCGTCTAGAATTCAACCTTTTTTCCCCATCAATTAATTAAACTAGATTTCTCCCCCGTAGTTACCGTCTGACTAGATGAACTAATAAGCAGTACACAGTAGCACTAGATAATGACTTGG